AACAAACAATTTAGTTTATGGATATTCCACCATAATAGGTAAATTAAATTTTTTCCAGTTCTTACACCACATTCATCCTGTGTCAGAAACCTATGCTGTGTCAAATATTTAATGACAATCCAAAGTCATAGCTGTATCAAGCTTGAATTTTGTGTCCATACTTGCCCCAACTGTTCAGGGTTCGACCTCTGCGGTCGTATCAAGCTGCGCCCCAGCGAAGCATTTTATTATGCATTTAGTATTAGACATGATGTTATTGACCTTAACTTGTTGACTTCCTTAAAACAAGTATGACTTAAACCAGTCTAGTGTACAGTTGGAAAACATTATAATATTTAAGTTTTTTCAATAAAATTTTATGATTAACCAGATCAAAAGCTTTCTTTAAATCTAAAAATATAACTCCATTTATTTCTCCATTGTCTATATTTGTTAACCATTCATCTACTAATTTAGTAAGCGCAGTAGTATCATTTCAGATATACACTTGCATATATTTCCTTTGTAATTAAAAATCTACATCTAATTGCCATTTATTAGCTCACCTGGCCGAAGGGCCAAGTGAGCTTTTCTCCTCACTTGGCGTCCGTCGTCGTCCGTCGTTAGCTTTTTACAAAAATCTTCTCCTCTGAAACCACTGGGCTAAATTTAACCAAACTTGGCCACAATCATCATTAGGGTATCTAGTTTTAAAAATGTGTCCGATGACCCCACCAACCAACCAAGATGGCCGCCATGGCTAAAAATAGAACATAGGGGTAAAATGTAGATTTTGGCTTATATCTCTGAAACCAAAGCATTTAGAGTAAATCTGACATAGGGTAAAACTGATTATCAGGTCAAGATCTATCTGCCCTCAATTTTTCAGACAAATCTGACAACCTGTTGTTGGGTTGCTGCCCCTGAATTGGTAATTTTAAGGAAATTTTGCAGTTTTTGGTTATTATCTTGAATATTATTATAGATAGAGATAAACTGTAAACAGCAATAATGTTCAGCAAAGTAAGATCTACAAATAAGTTGTCAGTCGACCCCTTTAGGAGTTATTGCCCTTAATAGTCAATTTTTAACAATTTTTTGTAAATTTTTGTAATCTTTTACAAAAATCTTCTTCTCTGAAACTACTGAGACAAATTTAACCATACTTGGCCATAATCATTATTAGGGTATCTAGTTTAAAAAAATTGTCAGATGACCCCACCTTCCAACCATCATGGCCGACTTGGTTAAAAATAGAACATAGGGGTAAAATGCAGTTTTTGGTTTATATCTCTGAAACTAAAGCATTTAGAGCAAATCTGACATGGCAAAAATGTTCATCAGATTTAGATTTATCTGGCCTGAAATTTTTAGAAGAATCCGACAACCCGTTGTTGGGTTGCTGTCCCTGAGTTAGTAATTTTACAAAAATTTTGCAGTTTTTATACGACCGCTAAAATTAAAAAAATTTTTGGTCGTATATTGGTATGACGTTGGCGTCGTCGTTGTCGTCCGAAGACATTGGTTTTCGCACTCTAACTTTAGTTTAAGTGAATGGATCTCCATGAAATTTTACCATAAGGTTCAATACCACAAAAGGAAGGTTGGGATTGATTTTGGGGGTTATGGTACCAACAGTTAAGGAAAAAGGGGCCAAAAATAAGCATTTTTGTAACTTCCAGACAATAACTTGTGTGTAAGTGTATGGATCTCTCTGACATTGTACCACAAGGTTCCATATCACAAAGGGAAGGCTGAAATTGATTTTGGGGGTAATTGCCTCAAAATTTTAGGAATTAGGGGCCAAAAAAGGGGCAAAAAACAAGCATTTTTCTAGTTTCATGACAATAACTTGTGTGTAAGTGTTTGGATATTTCTGAAATTGTACTACAAGGTTCCATATCACAAAGGGAAAGCTGGAATTGAGTTTGTGGGTAATTGCCCGAAACGTTTAGGAATAAGGGGCCAAAAAGGGGCCAAAAATAAGCATTTTTCTAGTTTCCAGACAATAACTTGTGTTCAAGTGTATGGATCTCTCTGAAATTGTACTGCAAGGTACCATACCACAAAGGGAAGGCTGGGATTGAGTTTGGGGGTGATGAATCATAAGGGGGTTCAAAAAATTTGGGGGGGGGATTTTTTTTTCTTTTTTTTCTTTTTTTCCTTTTTTTTTTCTTTTAAAGTTTTCCATTTTAAGTTGGTTATTTCTGATTAATATTTAAAAGCAAATAATAATGATATGGTAGGAGATACACACCAAACAGGATGTGTAAATTATTATATAATAAGTATTGTGCAATAGCAAGAAATTTTCAATTGCACAGTATTGCACAATTGCAAGAAATCTTCAATTGCACAGTATTGCGCAATAGCAAGAAATCTTCAATTGCACAGTATTGCGCAATAGCAAGAAATATCCAATAGCACAATATTGCGCAATAGCAAGAAATTGTCAATTGTACAGTATTGCACAATAGCAAGAAATATTCAATTGCACAGTATTGTGCAAAAGAAGATACTTCGTATAAATTGCTTATTTCTTGATCAATTTCAATGGGGTTTTATTCTTGAATTCTTGGGGTTCTTTAATATGCTGAATCTAACCAAGTATTAAGTTTTTGGATTTTGGGCCCCGTTTTTAAATTGGTCCACATTGAGGTCCAAAGGGTCCAAAATTTAACTTTGTTTGATTTCATCAAAAATTGAATTCTTGGGGTTCTTTGATATGCCGAATCTAACCGTGTATTTAGATTCTTAATTTTTGGTTCCATTTTCAAATTGGTCTACATTAAGGTCAAAAGGGTCCAAAATTAAACTTAGTTTGATTTTAACAAAAATTGAATTCTTGGGGTTCTTTGATATGCTGAATCTAAACATGTGTTTAGATTTTTGATTATGGGCCCAGTTTTCAAGTTGGTCCAAGTTGGGGTCCAAAATTAAACTTTGTTTGATTTCAACAAAAATTGACTTTGGGTTCTTTGATATGCTGAATCTAAACATGTATTTAGATTTTAGATTTTTGGCCCAGTTTTCAAGTTGGTCCAAATTGGGGTCCAAAATTAAACTTTGTTTGAGTTCAACAAAAATTGAATATATGGGGTTCTTTGATATGCTGAATCTTACCATGTATTTAGATTTTTTATTTGTGGGCCCGCTATCAAATTGGTTCATATTGAGGTCAAAAGGGTCCAAAATTAAACTTTGTTTGATTTCATCAAAAATTGAATTATTGGGGTTCTTTGATATGCCAAATCTTACCGTGTATTTAGATTTTTAATTTTGGGTCCCGTTTTTCAAATTGGTCTACATTAAGGCCCAAAGGGTCCAAAATTAAACTTAGTTTGATTTTAACAAAAATTGAATTTTTGGGGTTCTTTGATATGCTGAATCTAAACATGTGTTTAGATTTTTGATTATGGGACCAGTTTTCAAGTTGGTCCAAGTTGGGGTCCAAAATTAAACTTTGTTTGATTTCAACAAAAATTGAATATATGGGGTTCTTTGATATGCTGAATCTAACCATGTATTTTGATTTTGGGCATTGGACCATAATAGGTAAATTAAAAAAATTGAAGTTCTTAGACCACATTCTTTCTGTGTCAGAAACCTATGCTGTGTCAAATATTTAATCACAATCCAAATTCAGAGCTGTATCAAGCTTGAATGTTGTGTCCATACTTGCCCCAACTGTTCAGGGTTCGACCTCTGCGGTCGTATCAAGCTGCGCCCAGCGAAGCATTTTATTGGTTATTATCTTGAATATTATTATAGATAGAGATAAACTGTAAATAGCAATAATGTTCAGCAAAGCAAGATCTACAAATAAGTCATCATGACCAAAATAGTCAATTGACCTGATAAGGAGTTATTGTCCTTTAAAGTAAAATTTAACAATTTTTCGTAATTTTTTTTAATTCACAACAGTCTTCTCCTGAAACAACAGAGACAAATAAACTAAACTTGGCCACAATCATCATTAGGGGATCTAGTTTTTAAAAACATGGCAGACATGGCTAAAAATAGAACATAAAGGGAAAATGCAGTTTTTGACTTGTATCTCTGAAACTAAAGCAAAAGTATAACAGTTACATTATTTCATGCATCAATTGTAAATAAAAATATCAGGTGAGCGACACAGGGTCCTTGGAGCCTCTAGTTTGGTGTATGCAATAATTGTAAATGTTGTAAGGTGCACATGTCTGTCTGGCTTGGTTTATCTGAACTTGACCTTAATATGAATTGCTTGACAGTATATTTTTATGAATCATTGGTAATGTTAAGTATATTTGGTCCTTATCGTAAACTTATAATTATTCTTGTATCTTTAGGACAAGCACCATAAAACAGAGGGGACATACAAATACCTGGAGTCTGTCTATCCCTTTGGCCTTATAAGCGCTCTCACTTGCATGTCTTGTACAATTCTTGTCAAATTTTTAGGAAACTTATTTTGATAGGTTATATCAACAATGTCTGACAAGTTTTAAAATCAGTGCCAATCATTCATTTTTAAAAGAGTTATGCCCCTTGGAAACATTAATTATTTGGAAAATTGCATTGTTATGGCTCTTGTGTACAATTCTTGCTAGAATTTTATGAAATTAATATTAAATAGGTTTATATCATCAGAATGATCAGAGCATTTTGATTTCCATCTGTAATGTTTACAAATTCCAGATTTCATGGCAAATTTCAACCATTACAAACCTCCACAAGCTCCATAGCAGAGGTAATCAAAAAGTAGTGCAGCAACAAACAACAACTATTAATATTCCACTCCAGTTAATCCGACACACAATATACATGTATGATTATATACATAGATATAAGAAGATGTTGTATGAGTGCCAATGAGACAACTCTCCATCCAAGTCTCAATTTATAAAAGTATATACATATATGTACCCGGTAAGTTTAAATATTAAATTGATGTTATCATTTTTGCTTGAATAGTAAGGCAATATTTAATTTGATGTATATTTTACAAAATAATATATGCTGGTTTTTTTTTTTTATTACAGCAAATGTATTCCAAGAGTTTATGGCTGATTATGCAACTACAGGATTTTATCATGGAAGCAACATCTTAGAAGGATAAGTGCAAATGTATGAAGGAAGCCTTGTGTATAAATACATGTAGCAATTACATATGCAGGAGAGAACACTTAAACATTACTAACATGTAGTCATGATATGGGCGTGGTGCATTCTAGAAATCTAAACACCAGGAATTAAATATTGTATATATTTTTTTTCAACTACAAGTACTTTCAGTATATCATACAATTCTAATTCAAATTATTGTGTCAACATGACAGTTACTGTCTAAAAATGGAAAATGCTTGTTTTAAAATGAATTTTTTATAAATATATAAATAACAAGAATTTTTAGCTTATTGTGAAGCCAAACTTTGAGATCTTTTAATGGTATATGCCTGTTGTTTGTCACCATTTATTTTCTTTTTGACTTAACCTTAAGATCAGTGGTAAAATGAAAAACTGAAAACCATATATGAAATAAGAAAGAAATGGTTGTAAATAACAGCAAGACTTTCAATATGGTATATCAAATATATTTCACAGAACTTTCTATTTCAGTTTATTAATACAATGAGGTTTGAGGTATAAATCAATCCGACAGTAACACAACAACAAAAACACCTGAAAAGTCCTCAACAATAGACAGGTGTCGAAACAATATGTCATGATCTGTTTTAATTGACCAGAGTACATGAGTATGTGGCAGGGTGAACTACCTTTTTTCTTCAAAAAACTCATAAGAAGAATTGGCATCTTTTGCAAGTAATACTTGTCCATAATGTGATTGGAATGTCTCAAAACTGATGAACACAAAAAGACTTATACATACATATTAAAAATGAAATATACATCAGTGCATACATCTTCTATAAATAAATCACCTTCCATACATCAAATTAACAAAAATATTGAGACCTGAACACAACCAAAAATGTTCTAGGAGTGAACTATGGTGCCCTGGATATTTGCTTGCCTTCTTGGTTTTATTGAATCTATCTGCTGCATTGAAGATATTGTGAGTTGGAGTTGATGAATAAATATTATGTGTATTGTTTAGGACCAAGAAATTTAAGATACAAAGAGAAAGTAAAATAGAATGGAAGTATGAATTCATCCTCAAGACCAAGAAGAATATTTATATATATCAAAATAGAATGTGTACTAGATTAGCATTTACTTATCTAAAATATGCTGAAATACTGTGAAATTTGTGTGATTGAGACTCAATTCACCTTAATTTCATTTAAAAAAAATAATGTGAAAGCTCGATTCACATTAATTTCACGTGAAAAATTTAACGTGAATTTCACGTGAAAGCTCGATTCACGTTAATTTCATGTGAAAAGTTTCACGTGAATATCACGTGAAAGGTCGATTCACGTGAAATTCACATAAATTTAACGTGAGTTTCACGTGAAAAATTTCACATGAGTTTCATGTATAAGCTCGTTTGAGGTGAATCTCACGTGAAAAATTTCATGTGAAATTCACGTGATTTTCACGTGAAATTTACGTGAACAAAATTTGCCTGTGTAGGTTTCTGAATAAATGTAGTCAAAGAACTTGAAATTGGTTATATGAATTGAATTTATATTCAATTAAAGATTTCTTGCTGTTGTGCAATACTTAGTAAATCTGTTGTCAAGACTATAAACAAATAAAGTTCAATTAATTCTCAGACACAATATGGTCCACCAGTATTGATAAACAAAGTGTACCAATTGTCAGATTCAGGGCTTCTAACATTGAAGCCATCTTCTGTACATATTATACTGCCAGGTGGAATTTCTAATACACTGGGTGGCATTCTATCCAGACAGTGTGTCACAAACTGTCTAGGTCTATTTTGCAGAAATGATGGAACATTCGAAGAATATGACCTGTTCTCATGCATATAGGAGAGATTCTTTCTTATGTATCTGAAAAATTAAGTAAACAAATGCAGACATGTTCATGAGGGGTTTACCTCGATTAAGTATAATTGTGTTACTGATTTTGAAATTTTTTTAAATGCCTGACAATAACTAAGTAAATAAGTAAGTAAATTATTTATTATAGTGACATGTGTATCAAAACATACAGCCGCCATATCTCCCCAAATCAATAATTGAATTTTCTTGGGGAAATCAGGTTAAAATGCACCTTTTTCTTTTGATAGTAAATTTCTTATTTATATAATACTAGTATTGTATAAAAAATATTCAAATTGTATCTTATTTATATAATATTGTATAAAAATATTCAAATTGTAAACAAACAAACAAATATTGCAGAAGAGATAATTTTGCTCTAGTGTTCTGGTTGGTAAGAAATAGACATTTTTAATGATATAAATTAATTTGTTACTATAATGTGATTTGTGTAACAGTGTCTAAAGTAAAACAGAAGCGAGTCTCAGACTTTTATCTTTTGGATTTTTGATACAGTACTTTATCGACTGGTTGAGTTCATAATCGTTGTTGTGATCCTGAGATGTGAGTCTCCTAAATATGGAATTGGTTTACATAATCACTGGACTGAATATAAATAATGTATATTAGAGAGAGTCCTTCATGACCATTATCATGATTATTATATGAATAAACCAGGTGAGTCACTACTTGTTTTTAATATTTTGAAAAGGCATGCGTCTTTTTAGAAAAATTAAAGAATTTGAGACAAGGCATCTTACAAAGGTTTTTATCCAGTGTGCTGTTTTTCTTCAATTTTTATGCAGAAATCCACCTTTCTTTTTTATTTCACTGCTCATAAGAATGATAACTGTAGCCATGTATGCCTGTATTCTTCAGGTGAAATATCTTGATTCAGCAATAGATCTTTATTAAAATACATACGTGTTATTACTCTCAGGCATCATTTCATTCACTATGATTGATACCATTGAAGATAATGATTTCCCATCCTGTATGTTTTTCAGGTACTTTGATTTTAAGTCACAATGCATTTTTTCTTAACCATTGGTCTTGTTTATCTTTATATTAAACATGTCAGAACGAAAACAGTACACCCAGCACTAAAAAAAATATGAAAAATAAGTATTGAAAAAGAACTCCAGATAAAAATACAGTAATGGGTTTTTTTACCCACCAATTTTGAAGTAATTGAGTGAAGTAGTTTTTATTAATTCCAAAACACCCCTCCAGCAAATATGAAATTTGTTTTTTCACCACCAAGCTCCTAAATGTTTTGTTTTTTATTCTATAAATCTAAATATTGAATTGAGGAATGTCATAATTTAATCATTGTATTCCCTGTTATCTTAATTATGTGTCTTTCAAGTAAATATGTCATAGCTGTTATATTTGGTTTAAACACTGCCAACAATTTTTTTACTTTAATTTCTGACTACTTGGCCACAACTATTCAGACAGTTTTGTATTTTCTGTCAATTTAAATAAATTAGTGTAACTAGTGAGACGGTAAATGATTAACCCCAGATATTTGTTGATTTATAACACTCAGTTGACATTGCTGTTGTACATTTTTTTTTTAGTATGGTGAATACTTTTGAACAAAATCTTGCCATGTTTTATAAAAATAAAGTTTGAGTCAGACTCTGATTCATTATTATCACATACATTATTAAAGGAAAGTTTTGCAATGTGTTAATCTTGAGTGATGATATCCACATGTTTAGCGCTCTCATTTACTCTTGTCACTGCTGACATATAAATATTTGGGGTCCCTTTGTAGCCCAAAACACTTGTACATGTTGTGAATTTCTTGTATCAGCGGATCACAATTGACTTTCTTTCAGAGCAATATATATATACGAGACCCCTGTTTAAATGATTTTATTTACCCAAGATTTCTCCTTCTCCAGTAAGGAATTGATAATGTGACATGTACTTTTGTGCTTCAGCACTGCAGTCTGTTGTCAATAGTTCAATAGAAAATACGACTTTGTTTCAAGCAGTAATTTCTTTGCCACTCTGACTCATGATTTGCAAAAGAACATTTTAGAAACTGGTCCTTTATGTTTACCGGGAATACTAGTTTGAGTAATGGATAATTCCTTCCAACAGGGACCCATATCAGATATTTGATAAAAAGAAAGTAGATTTCCTAATATTACATACACAGATTTATGCAACATCAATTTATAAATATGGGTGTATAACACACACTACAGTGACATCATGGACATGTAGGGTTTAGAAAGCATAGCTATGACATATAATTGGGTTTTCATTTTAATGAATTCTTTTTTTGAATGCTGAAACTGTCAATGGAATTGGGTTTTCAATTGTTTTTATTGCATTATCATGTGAATACACATTTTATCTGGAGCTCTGTTGGAAATAGAAATACTTTGCAAAAGGAAACAAAAACCATAAAATGTAGGCTCTTATGTAAACTGAAGCATAACTGATCATAACCTTTCGATTTTGATTGAAAGTTTTCCTTGTACAATGAGTGCTGGTATATTTCAAACAATCACCAGATAGGAAGTGGATACATGGCAGATATAGCAATGGCTTATTCTCCACAACTCTATATTTTAAAGCTGTAGACAAAATAATACATGTAACCAAAGCATAGATTTAAAAGTTATCAGACCACGACTAAAGGGGCGCGGCTGAATAGTCACCATGGAAAGGACAAGTGCAACTGTTTATACATCTGCAAACCAAATATCATTGAACAACCACTGGTGGTTCACCATATACTAGCCGAAGTGACGTAATCACAAAATAATACATTGTTGTTGATGCCGACGCCCAAAACTGCATACCTGTGATGCTTTTTGACTCTGTCAATTGTAGACAACAACCAAACTCAAATTTTAACAGAAATGACTGCAACAAAGCCATTGATAAGTGGATTATAAATTGTGAATGAACAAGAAGATGTGTGACCCTAAATGCCTAATGAGCAATTAAACCCGCCATGAATCTCCATTTTTTGGGGCAGTGTTTTAAGGACAGCAGTTTTTCAATAATTTCTCTTGTGAACATTAACTTTGGTTTTCTTAATTCTATAGCTTTTGAATGTTCTATTTTGTATTTCAAGATAACTCAAATGATACAAACCTTGGAATCACTCAGCCATTGATTTCTAAAATAATTTTGAAAGTTCACATTTTGCAGAAAGATGTCAGATTTCTTCAGTTGATCTACTTCATCTTGAAAAATAACATTGGTCTCAGAATTAGCTATTCTCCGGAGTCTGAAATATAACAAAAGTTCAAATAATGTATTATAAATTGCTCTTACCTGGATGCTGCTGCTGTTAGCAATAAATGGTTTCGGATGTCTTTGTCTGTAGGGTTGAACCTACGAGTTGTGGGAGGGACATCTATGTTAAGCTCTTGTTCAACAAATATTTTTAACATATTTCTAACA